TACTTTTGATGGAAATATAGAATTTTAAAAAATAATATTTTTTTAATCTGATGAATTGACTCGAGTTGAAGTCCATATAAATGATAATTAAACACAAAAATATTTTATTTTCAGTAATTTTAATATATTAAATCTGAAATCATAATCCTAATCTGTTAGGTATGGCTCATAAATATACCAGTAAAGAGGATAGGAGATGGAGCGGAGTGAGCGAAGCGAACATCAACTGTCCTTACAAAGAAAGTCTCGTTGTGGGGTTACAAATTATGTGGGTTGGGGGTACGGGGGCGTAGCCCCCGCGGTACGGTACAAGGTTGATTTTGTAATTATGTACCAAGGTTTTCTATTATAAATAGAGATGTAACCTAGACCTAAAATATCATTGAATAAAATTCTAGCGCCGCCTAGGCACCGAGGACGTAAGCACATTGCCGAACCTCGTAAAATTCTCGTGTTCTTTCGTTTTCTTTACCCGTTTTCGTCAACAATTGGTATCAGATGTCAGGAGCAAAATCCGAAGTCGCGAAATTCGATGGTCAGGGTAACTTCGGATTATGGCAAACGAGGGTGAAGGATCTATTGGCGCAGCAAGGGATCTTGAAGGCTTTGCGACCTATAAAGCCGGCGTTGATGGATGAGGAAGATTGGGAAGAATTGCAGCAAGGAGCGGTAGGAACCATACGATTATGCTTGGTGGACGAGGTCATGTATCACGTCATGCATCTATCGTCTCCAGACGAAATTTGGAGGAAGTTGGAAAGTCAGTTTATGTCCAAATCCTTAACGACAAAACTGTATCTGAAGCAGCGGCTGTATGGGCTGAAGATGCAGGACGATCACGATTTGGCGCAACACGTGAATGTCTTCAATCAAATCGTTTCTGATTTGGCTCGGCTTGATGTGAAAATTGAGGATGAAGACAGAGCGATGATTCTGTTGTGTTCGTTGCCTTCCTCTTACGAACACATGGTGACTACTCTTACATATGGGAAAGAGACTATCAACGTTGAGGAGATTACTGCAGCCTTGTTGGCTCACAACCAGCGGAAGCAGAATGCAGGGGAAAGCTCTCAAGCCGATAGCTTATATGTCAAGGGTAATCGAGATCGTGGACGGAAGCCAGAGAAGGCAGGGTCCGGGAAGCGGAATTCCAGATCCAAATCCAGGGATAAGAAGACGATTCACTGTTACAAGTGCAAGGAGGCGGGACATATGAAGCGAGACTGTCCGAAGTTGAAAAAGCAGACTGATGAGAAGCGTGATGGCTCATCCAAGTCTGTGAACGTGGTCGAGGATGATACTTCTGATTGCAGTGAGGGTGATATGCTTTCTATTTCAACGACACAATTGACGGATGCTTGGATTCTTGATTCTGGATGTTCTTATCACATCACGCCAAATAGGGAATGGTTTTCGACATACAGGCCGATTAATTCTGGTTCGATTTATTTGGGTGATGATCGATGTTGCAATATTGTTGGTATTGGTGATGTCAGAATTAAGATGCACGATGGCTCCGTTCGGACGTTGAGTGGTGTTCGACATATCCCAGACTTGAAGAAGAATTTGATTTCCTTGGGCACTTTGCACAAGAATGGTTTTATCCCTAAGGCTGACGAGGATAGGGAAACCATTCGGATTGTTAAAGGAGCATTGACTGTGATGAAAGGCAAGATGACTGTAGGGAATATCTACAGATTGTTAGGGAGTACCGTTGCAGGTGGAGTTCACTCTGTTGAGTCCTGTGATGATACGACAAAATTGTGGCATATGCGCCTTGCTCGTCTTAGTGAACGTGGTATGGCAGAATTACACAAGAGAAACTTGTTGCATGGTGTCAAAAGCTGTAAGCTCGATTTTTGTAAGTATTGTGTTCTTGGTAAACAGACTAAAGTCCGTTTCAAGACTGCGAAGCACACAACTCAAGGGATTCTTGATTATGTGCATTCTGATGTATGGGGGCCTTCCACGACATCGTCTTTGGGTGGATCTAGGTACTATGTTACTTTTATTGATGATTTTTCACGGAAAGTTTGGGTGTATTTTTTGAAACAGAAATCTGAAGTTTTTGAGAAGTTCAAGCTGTGGAAAGCTGAGGTAGAAAACCAAACAGGACGAAAAATCAAGTGTTTGCGGTCTGATAATGGTACGGAGTACACAGATTCACAGTTCCTACAATTCTGTAAGGAGCATGGGATTCAGAGGCATTTTACAGTGCGCAAGACACCACAACAGAATGGTGTTGCGGAACGAATGAACAGGTCGTTGAATGAAAGAGCCAGATGTTTGCGGTTGAATGCGGGGCTTCCCAAAACTTCTGGGCTGAGGCTGTTAACATGGCGTGTTACCTTATCAACAGATCGCCAAGGGCATCGCTGGCTGGGAAAGTTGCAGAAGAGGTATGGACTGGTCATGATGTTAGTTTTGATAACTTACGGATTTTTGGTTGTCCTGCTTATGTACATGTACCTGCTGATGAGAGATCCAAACTTGATGCAAAATCGAAGGAGTGCATTTTTCTGGGTTACAAGAAAGGTGTCAAAGGATTCAAGTTCTGGGATCCAGTTGCGAAGAAAGTTGTGATTAGTAGAGATATCGTTTTTGATGAACAGTCTATGTTGCAGCAGAAGCAAGACACGACAGTACTAGATTTCGAGCAGTTTCCAGTTGATAAACCAGAAACTTCTCAACCGACTTCTGGTGGTTCCACTACGGATGATTTGCAGGATTATAGTCTCGCCAGAGACAGGGTGAGACGGACGAATATAAAGCCTCCGAACAGATTGGGTTTTGAAGACTTGGTATCTTTTGCACTTACTGTTAGCAGTGATGATCCAGTTACTTTTCATGATGCCGTTACTAGTCAGGAAAACGACAAGTGGATGGCAGCCATGGTTGAGGAGATGGAGTCTTTGAATCACAATCGCACATGGGAGTTAGTTCCTCTTCCTGAGGGTAAGAAGCCGATTGGTTGCAAATGGGTGTATAAGGAGAAACCAGCAGTAACAGAAAAAGAGGGGGAGAAGTTCAAGGCTCGTTTGGTAGCGAAGGGTTTTTCACAGCAGAAAGGAGTTGATTATGATGAAATCTTTTCTCATGTGGTCAGGCACACTTCAATCCGAGCAGTACTTGCATTGGTGGCTAGTTGGGATTTGCATTTAGAGCAGATGTATGTTAAAACTGCTTTTTTGCATGGTGATTTAGAGGAGCAGATCTACATGTGGCAACCTGAAGGTTTCACTCAACTTGGAAACGAGCATTTAGTTTGCAGATTGAAGAAATCTTTGTACGGGTTAAAACAGTCTCCGAGACAGTGGTATAAACGGTTTGACTCCTATATGATCAAGATTGGCTACAACCGATGTGAGTATGATTGTTGTGTCTATGTTAAGAGCCTTGATGATGGTTCTTTTATTTTTCTATTACTGTATGTTGATAATATGTTGATTGCTGCGAAGAACATGGATGATGTTATCGGTTTGAAAACTTTATTGAGTCAGGAATTTGATATGAAAGATTTAGGTGCTGCAAAGAAAATTCTTGGAATGGAAATTTGCAGGGACAGAGACTCAAGGAAACTACGGCTATCTCAACGGGGTTATGTTGAGAAAATGCTAGAAAGGTTTGCGATGAGCAGCGCGAAACCAGTTAGCACTCCATTGGCGAATCACTTTAAGCTCTCATCAGAACAGTGCCCTAAGACAGATAAGGAAGCTGAAAATATGGCAAAGGTTCCGTATTCTAATGCTGTTGGCTGCTTGATGTATGCGATGGTATGTACTCGTCCTGATTTAGCTCATGCTGTTAGTCAAGTTTGTAAGTACATGTCTAAACCTGGTAAGCAACATTGGGATGCAGTCAAGTGGATCTTTCGGTACTTAAAGGGTACTGTGGGACATGGAATTGTTTTTGGGAGTCAGCGGGATAATCCTTTGGTTGTAGGATATGTGGATTCAGATTATGCAGGTGACTTGGATAATAGAAGATCTACGACAGGGTATGTGTTTACTCTTGGTGGAGGGCTTATTTGCTGGAAGTCTACTGTTCAATCTGTCGTGGCATTATCTACAACTGAAGCTGAATACATGGCAGCGGCTGAAGCTGCAAAAGAAGCTTTATGGCTTACTGGTTTAGTGAAGGAGTTGGGTGTTCAACAAGGTGGAGTTCAGTTTCTTTGTGATAATCAAAGTGCTATTCACTTGGCTAAGAATCAGGTGTATCGTGCTAGAACTAAACATATTGATGTAAGGTTCCACAAGATTAGAGAGTTGGTTGCATCTGGAGAGGTTTTGTTTCAGAAGGTACATACTGATGAGAATGCGCTGATATGTTCATCAAGCCAGTTACGACAGACAAGTTCAAGCATTGCTTGGACTTGTTGAATGTTTCGAGTTGTTAAATAAGCAAGGTAACCCAACCCACATTGAAGTTTCCAAGGGGTAGGATATTCGCCAAGGTGGAGATTTGTTAGGTATGTCTCATAAATATACCAGTAAAGAGGACAGGAGATGGAGCGGAGTGAGCGAAGCGAACATTAATTGTCCTTACAAAGAAAGTCTAGTTGTGGGGTTACAAATTATGTGGGTTGGGGGTGCGGGGGCGTAGCCCCCGCGGTACGGTACATGGTTGATTTTGTAATTATGTACCAGGGTTTTCTATTATAAATAGAGATGTAACCTAGACCTAAAATATCATTGAATAAAATTCTAGCGCCGCCTAGGCACCAAGGACGTAAGCACATTGCCGAACCTCGTAAAATTCTCGTGTTCTTTCGTTTTCTTTACCCGTTTTCGTCAACATAATCTATATGCATAAAGGATTTTGTTTTATTTATTATGTTTCTATTTTGAGAAAATAGGTGACCAAACATGTTTTTATACTTTCATTTACCCATTTTCCGACAAAAATATAAAATGAAAGCCTTCAAAAAAGAAAATAGTAACATGAAAAATATTAAAAAGAACAGAAAATATTTTCGAAAATAAAGCGGATGCTAAATTTGTAATTTAAAATACAATGTACCCTAAATGAATTATTAAAAGAATAGGGTACAAGAAGAGTTGATATAAGCATTGCACATTCAACCAGTGGAACTAGAAAAGAATGCAATAGTATAGCATGATGAGCAATCAGCCCTTTAAGATTTTTCAGCAGATGGACTGCTCATTATGTTATACCATTCCATTCCATTCCATTCTTCCGCCCCCGTTCAAAGTCTGATGCTGCAAATTAAACGCTTGAGCATCGGCTACTTTAAATTCCGCCGCCCCCGAAAGTCGGTGCCCAGTACTGAGCACCATCGTTATCGGTTTCAGCATGATGAGTAGTGCATGATACAGGAACCAAGCACAGCCCTCTACTCCTCAAGTCCTCCGGCTTATCCTATCATATAATAACCATATATGAAAAATGAAAACACTATGATAGCAGCAATGATGATGAGTGATTTTTAAAACAGTAGAATGGAAATGGAAAAGGGAAAAAGGAAAAAGCAATTATAATTAACTACTTTTATGTTCAACTCCTTTCTCATTGTTTAAATCGCATATACTAGTTTAATGCAGTTTCAAATCATGCTTTTGAGTAACTTTTATACACTTGAGATTATTTTAATCAAAAACTTACCGTGGTATATATAAATAATTATATATTGAATGCTGGTATATATAGTTGCTTTGGGAAAATAGTTTATGGGTACTCACAGATTGTTGGTTTCTCACGTTTGGAGATGCAGAACCCAAGTAAGGGGAGCTAAGAGCCTGTGTTTAAAGTGGGGGAAAAAGGAATTAATATTATTTTTATGACTTCCATGACTAGATAATAAAAACGATATTTTCGCAGAGAAAAAGCATGAATTATTGAAACTAGAAAACAACATGCTTTCGCTCTCACTCATTTCTGAGCTGCTTGGGACTAGGGCAGAGAGAAGATTTTTTTTCTAATAAAAAAAAGATGTGGAAGAAACGTCACCTCAATTTGATCATGAAGGAATCTGATATACCCAATAACTTCTAACAACACAGAAGCAGTGTCAGTCTGCAAAAAAGAGCACACAATCCCCCAAATCATCTTTCAAACTCTTCTTAAATGTTAAATAGAGGAGCCCTAAAACAAATAAAGAAAGTAAAGCAATTCCTTTATGGGTTTTATCATAAAATACAGCTGCTTTTTTTTTCCAGTAATCAGTGCTACTGTTCGGTGTTTAGTTCAGTTTTTGTGGCTTTATTGATGAAGAAGGTTTCTTGTTTCTTACCTTTCCAAATGGGGAAACTAACTGGTGAAGTGTTGTTATTCTATCTCCCAGCTTCTCTTTTCTCACCTGGAAGGATTTAGCAGAAATATATGTAATAATAATGCAGAACAAAATCTCAACACAGACTCGTAAATGTTACTTAGTCTGCTGTGGCCTTTTGTTTTGATAACATGTGTAGCTAGTAATAGCTGAAAAAGAATAATACATGCTTGGAAATAGGCAATCAAGAACGACATAAAGAGAAAGTGAGAGAGCAACAAAGAAAGATTCTATGTGTACTGCTTACATTTAGAAGTGGTTGTCTTGAACTTGAAGTTGGCTGAACCCTAGCCTTCTTACATACCCGACCTGTGGCTATGCTATTACACTATTGCCAAAACACACAAAAATGCAAGTTTTATCAGCCAAATAAATGCAAGGCCAAAAAGAAAAAGGTATGGGATCCATGGGTTTGGGTTGTCTTCTCTTTCTTACCTCAGAAGAATGATTTAAGCCAGGTTGATTAACAGTCGTTTCATGATCTACCGCCTTGTGGTAAGTCAATTCTAATATATTATTACTACTTAAGTTAGTAATGCAAGATCTGGGAGGGGAAACTGGCATGATTTGGGACGGAGCAGCCGCATATGCTTGAAATTCATCATTGCTATGACCCAAAAGGTTGCTATTTTGAGTAATCTCTTGCTTTACGTCAATAACCAAAGGAACCCTTGGAGATGGGTTTAGGATTTGGCTTTCCCAAATTTCCAACTTTTTAGGCTGATAATGACTTGGGCCAAACCTTACTTCTTCACCATATAATCCTCCCCTAATCACCAAAAAAAAAACCCATAAAGCACAATTATAATTTATCAGCTGCACTAGAACCTATATATGTACACGAGAAAGCTATCCTATTAATAACTATCGTGAATACCAGAAGTTGAGATTATATATGAATGGTATTTTAAAAAGTTAAAGGGTCCCAAGAAGTAAAATTTATGGATAAAGAGGAACAGTAGAGGAGTAGCATGAAAAAAGTAGAGATGAAGTGGGGAGAGCTCACAGGAGTAGTTGGCTCCATGACTGTACGGGAAATTCTTGGAAATGATCAGGCAAATAATTAGGAAGAAGAGCAGTAGAAGATCCAACAACATACTGAGGAGAGTGGAGAGATGGGGATGTTGGAGCAGTAAACATATTAGAAGAATGTTGTTGAGATGGTGGATTCATGCTCCACCAGCTAGGGTTTCCAGCTGCCATCATTTATTTGATTAATTGCACTGTTGTTGCTGATGATGAGCTTGCTACTTCAATTTTCATACGCCTCTTTGATCCTTCAAAAAAAAGAAACTCAACCCCACAGAAACACAACAAAGAAAGAAAGAAAGAAAGAAAAAAGGAGAAACTTTTTCTTGTTTTTTTTTCTTTTCCTTTTAACTTTCTCTCTATCACTTTGCTAGTTTTCTTTGTACATGCACTCAACCAAGCAAGCCTTTTGCGTTGCTAAAATCATCATCAAGAGTCTCTCTCCAACCCCTTGTTTGCCTTCTCAGAAAATGATGAAGAAACATTGACTGTATGGCATTGAAAGAAAAACTTATACCAAGGGTGGGGTTGCTGTGATTCCCATTCGTTTCCTGCCTTGCCTTTCTTCTTTTTTATTCTTTGGCTTTGCTAAGCTTTTGCTTTATTATAAAGTGTACAGAAAAGCTGGTGCCCAGTATTTTCAATCCTTTAAGACTTAAAACTACTATAATTTAAGTTAAACTACACCACTACACATCTAACTTCTAAGATGTTTTTATTTTGATCATTTAAAATAAATATTTTCAATTTTTTCATTAAATCATTAACACATCACCACTTTATTAATCGCAAAAATATATTTCTTAATGTGGTGACACGTGTCCAGACCCGACCCAATACATGTGCCTGATGGGCCTTAACCCAGGGCAATATGTTTGAGGGAGCATCAGTTTTCTAGTACTTATAGTGTGTGTATATATATATTTGGCCCAAAATATTAGCCCAAAACTTGCAGTATTGATCCAAAAAAATTTCTATTACATTAAAAAAAATTATTTATGTTCTATCTATTATACGGTACAAGTATAGGGGCATAAAATTATTATCTCGCCCATGGTATTAAAATTCATTGGACCGGCCCTGCACGTGTCACCACCTAATTAACCACTAAACTATCTCATTTTAACATTTCATACTTATCAATAAATAAATACATTCTTTATTATAATGACACGATTTATCAACTTGATAATGAGAAAACTAAGAAAAATATTTTCAACCTTAAAGTTCATCCCCTTTACCTCCATAAGCAGTTCCCTAACACATAATCACTGCAGCCTAATTGAGATATCTGTTTTATAATTGAAAATAAATTGTTTTTAAATTAAATTCAAGTTCTTATTAACTACACCTATTTTTATAAAAAATGTATTGATTATAACATAAAATATATAATATATTTATAATATTAATTAAACTATATTAATTTTATAAAAAAATAGTTATAATTTAATTATGAAATTAAAATAATAACGAAAATTTTAGATTAATTATAACATGATTAAAGTATATATTAGTTTTTGTTTGACCATTTAAAAAAATATTTATATGCACGATTCCTAAAAAGATTATGTTTTTATTTAAACATTTAATCAATTAAAAAAAATATGAAGTCTGATTACTAAACATACTTTCTCTTGTTTAATTGTTTTTTTTTAATCAAGGGCGGCTTGATTACCTTACATATATACACTGTACACGACTGCACATGATTCCAAATGAAAGCGGGATATGTATTAGCTATTAATCATTTAAGATATATACGGTATTTATTAATTATCAATTTAACATCACATTTTCAAAGTTTAATAATTTAGCCTAAGAATGATTAGCTTTCCCTATCTTTAAAAAAACTAAATGGGAATATGACAAAATGACCATTATTTATGATTATTTTACCTTATAATTGTTAAATGAACGCATAGCGGTCATATAAATACATTGTCTATACTCCAACATCGACTGGGATCGTTAGCTTTAAACAACAACGATCCCAGTCGATAATAATCGTGTTGTTTTCTCGTAGCCTAAATATGATTTAGAAAAAAAAATATTGAAGTGTTTCTCTTAAAGTATGTACTGTGCGCTATACGAGCTGTTGCAGATATTTTTAATGAAATGATGGAAATGTAAACTTCGTAACTATACTGTGGACTTCAATTGTGGCTTGAAGACTCTAAACTATGTTGAACCAAAGTCATATGACAAAAGACAGGCAAAATTATGGTTGTTGGTGGCAGAATCAGACAGGATTTGATTTTATTTTAGCTATGAAATGAATTCAAGTAAAGAAATCGAAAATTTGAACCGAAGATGTTATGGAAAGATGCATAAAAACTCAAAAGGAAGTGTAGGCTTTGACCCCACACCACTGCCCCTAAAATCAGGGCCTTGTTCAGCTTCTGAGTTGCACACTTTTGGTTCAATGCCAACGCCTTTTACCAGGGGAATCCTGGGCCGGGCCTACCTACTTCACGATGTTGGAATATTTACTTTTTATACTGTCTAAATTATTTAGATATTTTCACCTGTAAATTGAGGTATAATATATATTAAAACACGTTCAATCTCGTACAAATTAAAATCCAATCGACTATAATTTTCAAATACTATAATCATAAATTTATGTATCTGTTATATCTACTTTAAGTTACTACAACATATGTTGTGTTTTCCTTTGTAAACGGTCAAAGCAAAAACTCTCAATATACGGATCAAGTTACATTTACTTTTAGAAATGGCATTTTTTTTTCTTTTACAATATATTGCAATTAGAAAGCAAATTCAATTTCTTTAATTTATAAAATATTGCAATCTAAGTACGTTTAATTGTTAAGAAATAAAGCACCGACAGGTTATGGAGATTGTAAAGGAAAGGTTGTTGCTTAAAATAAAGAGCAGAAAAGGTGGGCCTGAAAGGGGGCTTGTTAAATCCTGAAAATAGAATGGGGCTTTTAGCCTGCCACATTGCTTAAATAAGGGGCTGTATGTTTACTTCAGAATGATTAAGCGTTGAATGATTCAGAGACTCTGTATGAATTAGCTCTGAATGTGATATGTTGTTTGATAATGGCTCTGAATCATTCAGAATGCATTTCTGTGCTGAATCATTCAGCATTGTTTTGCTGAATCAGTCGGCACTTTTTTGTTGAATCAGTCAGCACTGAATCATTCAGAGGTACGAAACAAACGCGCTGAATGATGAACCGTTCAACATTCAGCGCTGAATGGTTCCATTCAGAGCCAAACAAACAGCCCCTAAGATTATACCACATTAAAAAAAATTAAAATTAACATAGAAAATATAAATTTATATTCGGTAAGATCTATAAATTTTATTCATCGTTAGTGAATCAAACATCTGAAAAACCCCTTATAATTAAGTTCACTTAATGTTATTATTCACCAACGGTAAATGTAAGTGTTAATTGTACATGAGGCCTCTAAACATTGATGCTCATCCTAATTTGATTCTTAAACATTAAAATAATTTATTCTAATTCTCTAACTATTAGGGTCATTCTAATTAGACCCTTTTTATTTTTTATTAGATATTGTTAATGACATGTGCCTCAACCAATCAATGACACATGCTTTAATTTTTTTTAACAAAATAACTTAAAACAACTTTAATTGCAATTGTTTTAAGTTTTTTTTTTCCAGTCCTTGGGTTTTGGTCGAGAAGCAACCATTTATAGTTGACTTCTTTTTCATTCATCAAAATATGAGCACAAATAATGTCATCAATTGATTAGAACACATATCGTTAGCAATATCAAATGGAAAAAGTAATAGAGAAATGGAGGACTCAATCGAAATAATACCAATAGTATAAGGATTGAAATAGAATAATTTAAAGTTTAAAGATCAATTTAGAATAGATATCACAAGTTTTTTTTATAACAAAGCTACGGTTAATTTTGCGGCATTACCCATTTACTACTCGAGCATGATTGTTGTTACAAGGCCGCTAGCATCTCATTAATTGATACTGCTGGATCTGCTTTTAGCAATTTCGCCAAAACATGACAGTTTCTCTCTTCTCTTTCCCCACTTTCTTGTTTGTAGTGAAAGAAACACTGACCATCGGACTGCTTAACATAATGTCTTTACCATTTTGGTTTTCTTGTTGAACACTGACTTCTACTATTTTCGCATTTACTGGGGCAGTATTGATTGTATTTCAGAGACGGGGTTGAGATGTAGGAAGCCAAGCATCATTAAGCAGACCTTGAAGCCCTGTCGGTTTCTGCACCTTTTAAATTATTGACTTTCTCTTCCAACAAAGACCCAAATACAAACATCGTAATGCGTGCATTTTTTATGGTAATTTACCATTTCTATGGGTAATAAATTGGGTAAATCATATTAATAGTCATTTAAGTTTTAGGATTCTTGTATTTTGATCATTCAGGTCCAAAAACTTTAGTTTTAGCTAATATCGTTAAGAAATGTTTTCATATAAGTTGTTCCACCACTATCCTTTACGTGGAATTCTCGTGCTGCTGTGCTATAATTATTACACACCTAAAACCAATTTATTTGGATGGTGACACTAAACTCAAACCCGACAATGCAATCGGTATATGTGATTTATCTTGGCTATAGTACATATACGTTTGTGTTTGTATACGTAGCTTCCATTTTCAGTGTGCTGCTGCGATTAGGTTTCCATCGTTATCATCGTTTAAGAACCAAACGGGAATAAATACAATAACTGATTTAAAGCTTTAACCACTTCCTCAATATTCCCTCGCATGGTTTTTTTTTTTTTTGATTGATTTTGCCATGTCAAATGGTCAAACTATTATCAACAACGGGTTAAGCAGAATATGTTGATGATCAAACTACAAACGCTTTTTTGTTACATTTCTTATGAATGGTCCAATCAAACTGCAAAAATATTCCCAGTTTTTAATGCATGACAGATCCATGTTTTAATGTCCTAACCATAGATAATAATTCCTGATGATGAAATTCATGGTCCAGAAGTGGGTCATAAATATGGAGTTTTGTCCCTCCCTCCCTCCCTCCCATCGTTGATTTATTTCTTTTGAATTACGGTAGAAATACTTAAACATCTTGCATTTCCTGCAAGTTATTTCCAGGGACCCTACCCCTATATCGTTATCGATGAGGTGTTTGCTACTGGTTTCAGACACATTCATCCTTGTTTGAATTATTTGTGTATATATTTAGACAGCTAGGTACTCACCAATAATTCAATTCTATCCATAGCTGTAGCCCTGTAGTGTTAAATGGAAATCCAGAGCACATGAAATATAATCAGTTTTGTAGGGTTAATTAAGGATTTGCATGTCTGTCTGACAGACAAATATCAAAGAGCCTGCAAGAACAGAAAAATCATGTTTCTTGTTTGGTAAAGATCCTGTGGCCCTTCATGTTTTAATCATCTTTTCCCAAACAATCGTAATAGGAAAGAGATTCGTAAATGTAACAGATGTCATATTTTAAAAATAATTACGTGAACTAATCGTTTAGAGTTCATGTCCTGTACTGTTTAATTATGTCCCGCGAAGCACGTTAGCCTCCCCAGAAGACTGGGTTGA